CTGAGGTTCAGTCCCCAGGCATTCTGGGAAGTGCATGGAAATACTGATTCACCCGCTCTCCATTTACAGCCTCCTCCGGCTCAGTCCTCAGAGAGGGCTCCCTGGAGTCTTGCCCTGATAAGTCCTGTGATAGCACTTGTCACGGTTTGTCATCGTTGTGTATGTGCGTGTTTAATGTCTATTTCCTTAATAAGCTGTAAGTGCCCTACTGGGAGGGGCCTTACACGTGCATTGCCCAATGTGGATCATAGCAAGGTTCTAGAAATGTTGGTTGTTTTTGGTAATTTACTTACTCAGTTCTCTTTTTCCTTGACTCACTCTTTTATTCACTCCTTTATTCATCTATTCCCTCATTCATTCCAGAAACATGTGTTATTGGCCAACGGCTTTTCCCAATCTACCCCTCTCACTTTGTAGGGTGGCAGGTTTGGGGGAAGATGGGAGTGGGGACATGACAGCAGAATTCTGGGAAGGCATCCACAGCTTGGGAGAGCAGAGCTGGGTGGGTTGGAAGCTACCCAGGCGAGGAGGGAAGATTCCAGAAGGATGGAAGATGCTGAAGGATCAGAGACACAGAGGTGAAAGCAATGGGGTGGGCAGAGCAGGGGCAGCCTCCTTTCTGTTCTCCGCCATACTTGGCTCTCCCACTGCCAGGCTGAGCTTGTTCTGCCTGGACCATACTACAAGTTGAAATCCCACCCTTCCTGTGGCAGCCCAGATGTCCTCAAATTCTCCCTTGTTCCTGCAGCTGCAAGGCCCACAGTCCTGGCTGCAAACAAACTCCCTGAGCATGAAATGTGGACCTCCCTCGCCGGTGACCACTTCCTGGCTTGTGCTGTCATGTGGGCCCTCTCTCCTCTCTCTACCCCATAGGTCTTTTACAACTGTCCCCATGTGTCCCATGGCTCCAACACCCAGCACCACGGGGATACTCGGGCCACCCTGGCCTGACCAGCGAACAGAGCTGTGGGTCAGGGTGGGGGTAGTGGGGTGGGTGGCAGGACACAGTGATTATGAGCCCATTTTATGGATGGGGAAGTGGAGGTACAGACAAGTGGCATGACTGCCCTTGTTCCCAGAGCAAAGAAGTAGCCGAGCTTGGATCTGGCTCGGAGTTTCTGGTCCCAGAGGGCAGGCCTCTTTCCAGGGAAGCCTGACGGGAGATGGGGAGAGGGTGGGTGGGGTAGGAGCTGGGTCCTGAGAACCAGCAGGCCAGAGAGATTTGGAGCTTGGATGGCCAAGTTCAGGGAAAGCACAGCTGGGGAGGAGCCAAGGTATTTATTATGCTTGGTCTGCTGCTCCAAACAGAGCTGATGGATGGAGCCGCTCCAGTTCCTATAAACAGCTCAGCCTCCCTCCCCCACACCCCCTCCTGGCTCTCAGCACAACTGTTTCCAGTGAGATAGGGGTGGGGGAAATGAGTAAGGGAGGGAAGGGGAGAGGAGATGAAGAGGACAGAGGAGGGAAAGGACAAAGCGAAGATGGGGTCCTCAAGACAAGAGACGGGAGGGAAATGGAGAGTGGCCAGAGCACGTTCTCATTTTGGTCCCCACTGGCTGCCCACACCCTGAATCCCCTGTGTTCTCTCTGCTTTCCCTGGGTCTGTCTGAAAGCTGCTCTTAATCCCACAAGTTCATAGTCCTAGAGGGCAGGGGCCATTTAGTCAGGAAGTCTCTTTCCTGAGCTCCCTGCCTGGGTTAGCTCACAGGCCCTGGGGATACACAGAGGTCTCGGGGTAGGACCTGCCTCCCAGGACTTGAGGGCAGTCTGGGGCTAGGGCCGCTGGAGGAGGAAATCCAGGCTGTCTCCCCAGAGGAGGTGACACAGACAAGGGCAGCAGAAGGAGTGTGCGGGTGGGTCAGGGTGGGTGGGATGTTCCAGGTGAAGGAGGAGACAGCCTAGGGTTGGGGAGGCTCAGGTCATAGTGCTACCTAATGGTTAAGGTCTCTGGCTCCATAGTGGGATGAAACTGGATTTAACTCTCAGCTCTGGAGCATTAGTTTCTCTTCAAAGATTATTGGAATTAAATACGACAACATCCAGCAAGTGTTCAGCATGGGGCTTACCCAGACGCACGTAATAATGGTCAGCTCTGAGCACATGGTGGGAGACGGCAGAGCGAGGGCTGAAGGGCGGCAGGCACCAGCCTCTGGGGCCTTGAAAGCTGCCTGAAGGAGAGTAGACAGCTGGCCCAGGTCCTGGGGATGTGGCCGCAACAGGGGTGAGAGGATGAGGCAGTTGGAGGGGCCTGGGGCCTTTGCCTAGTGGGGCACCATAACAGCTCACTGAATTGAAGAAGCCAGTGATGCATCTCAGGTGGTCTGTGACATAGGGCACATGAAGGCCCCCTCTCCCTGGAACTTGCTGAAATTCAGCCCTGCAAGCCGGATGCTCCGATGACCTAGTTGGCAGCTGTGTCCATGTTTGGCTGAAAACAGGAATTTCTGTCTCTCCGGGGGGTCTTGGCCAGGTGAGCAAACTCCCGTGTTTGCCAGGAAAAGGGGTCAGGGACCTGGTGGGCTCTCACTGATGGGAGGCCCACAGGCCCTGGGCTGAGCTTAGCCCATGCTATGAACTCCTGGGCCTCACTGAGCACTGCCTGTGGGCCTTCTCACCCCCCAGCACCACCCTGGGAGACAGGTGTTTAAATTTGTCCTTAGGATCTGGGAGCAGCGACTGGCAGTGAGAAGTCACAGGCCAGGGAGGCTGATCAGAGAAATTTCCAGGAGGCAGAGCTGGCCCAGAGGCAGCTGGGCCCAGGAGAGGAGCCAGGGTGCTTAGGGGTGGGCAAGGAGGAGCACCCAGCTGGGGTGGGGGAATGGCTGATTGGGGAAGAAGGTTAGCACCTGCAGATGCAGAGGGTCTGGTATCACGCTGCTGAGAAGGGCAGGGGCCACTACAGGACAAGCTCCTCAGGCTGCAAATTTGAAGACTAAGGGGACCACTCCCTGCCCGGCTTCTGCCTCCTAGTGCTTGCTTCACCCCCACCTCCCACCACACTCTGTCCCTCCAACTCCTAGCCACCTACCAGGAACATTGTTTTTCCAAGTTCAACTTGGATCTGCAGCCCAGCTTCTCACTACATTCTCCCTGAATTCTTCGGCCCTCTGGAGACCCGTTGACCTCTGGCTGGAGTCACCTGTGGGTAACATGGCTGGATTCTCAGGATGGGTGGGCTGGAGTCAGGGAAGGGGACAGAGGGCTGTTACAGCTAGGACAGAGCCCTGGCAGTCATCATTTAGAGGTGGCTTGGGGAAGATGAGCACATAGAGGGGCTGGAATAGGGTGGCTTGAGAGGGAGGAAAGAACTCAAGTGTGTGGAGTCCTGGAGGCTGAAGAGGACATGGGTGAGGGGCCCTGCTACCCAGGATCGAGGACACCAGGTCTGTATGGTGTGCTGTTCCCCCAAGGAGACCTTGGGGTCCTCAGAAGGGCAGTCTGGGTAGGGCTGAGAAAAGGAAGAGAGAGGGAAGGGGACGTTTTCCTGCGAAGAGCCAGAGAAAAATGCAGAGTGTGGTGCAGGGTCTTCTTAATGTTTTTAAGATGGGCAAGGCTTGAGTCACCGTGAGGTAGGGCAGGAAGGGGCACATCCCTGCAGAAGGGAGTTCCCTGGGTTGGAGTGAGGGAAGAGAGGTGTGATCAGGGCCATGACGGAGGCTGAGGCCCCAAGGTTCAGGGAGCAGGGTAGTGATGGCCCAGTGCCTCAATGTCCCCCAGAAACACGTCGTGAGGACTGAAAGGCCCTGACAGATGTAGAGGCGGCGGTGCACGTGGATACAAAGATGCCCATTACACACAGCAAGGATGAGACTGCAGGTCACACTGCTTCTCCAAAATTATACTTTAATACATTCATGTGGATATACAAAGCGCCAGTCCCAGGGCTGGCTGTGGCCTGGCTCCTGGGAGGTGACAGCAGCATGACGTAGTGTTTTCAAAAGTCAGGCACAGGGGCCAAGGCTTTGGCCGCCAGGCCTGAGGAAGAGTGCTATGTGCAGTAGCACCTGATCCCAGCCAGGACTGAGTCCACACAGTGCCCCAGCTGAGAGGCCTAGACCTGCTTGGCTCATCCACTCTCTGAACGTTAACACTCTCTGGGCCTCAGTGTTCTCATCTGTAAAATGGGGTGGAGAGAATGGCAGCATTTAGATTTTCTCACACATTACCAAATGCACGGGCAGACCCTGGGCCAAGCACAGGAAAAGTGATAAAGACAATGACATAGGCTCTGTGGATGGTCCCAGGCTCCCTTTTAACCCAGCTCATGACTCCATGCTATGTGTGACAAGGGTTTATCTAAGTGGGATCTTTCTACCCATCTTCCTAGGGGGAGGAGAATCCCTGCAACAGTATTGTCTTGTGATGTGACAGCTGAGATTGAAGGAAACCACACAGGTCCTGACTTTTGGGGGTGCTGGGGATAGAACCCAGGGTCTCACATACACTAGGTGAGTGCACAACCACTGAGCTACATCCCCAGCTGCCCCTTCTCCCAGGCGCTGTCATTGACTTGCACAACTCAGAGCAAGTCCATTCTCTTCCTAAGTCTCAATCTTTCCAGTGAGGAGGTTGCAGTCCATGGTCTCAAACTCCAGGCTACACTCAGTGGAGGAAGAGGAAATGAGAGAATGCAGGAGTGAGAAAAGGGAGAGCCCATGCTCATCTGCAAAGGAGAAAAAAAGGGAAACTGAGGCAGAGAAGGGGTACAGGGCCTGCAGGTTTGTCTTCTCTCTGCTTGTGGAGAGAAAGAGTGGACACTCACAGCACAGAATGCTCAGGCACTGGTCAGGTCCCTGGATGTGGGACCACTTCCTGTCTACCTCACAGCCTGCAGTCCCTGCAGGGGCAAAATTCAGGCCCTGGAGTCAGAGGACGCAGATTTGACTCTCAGTAGGGTATTTCTTAGCTATGGAATTCTCCAGAGAGACTTCTGGAATTTTATTTACTTCTTTTGTAAAGTAGAGATAAGACAAAATACCAGCCTCTGAGAGTGGTCCCACAGAGGCAGACACAAGACTTGGATTTGTGTCTCTAGCTGCCAAGCCGGGTGCAAACCAGAACCAGATAGCTAGGGCTCTCGCTCTTGGCTCAACAGCCAGGGTGAGGCTGGGATGGGGAAGGGGTCTGGGCAGGGAGTCAGTGGTTCAGTACTTGGGCCACTGTGTGCAACAAGAGAGTGCCAGGGAGGGACAAGCCTGTCCAGAGCAGGAAACAGAATGGCCTGGCACTGGGCCGGAGCCCAGGGTAGCTACCTCTTAACCAGGCCCTGCTGGGGCTGCTGAAACCCGCCCAGCAGCACTGGCTCCAAGACATACTCGGGAGGCTTGGGTTCTTTTTTCCGGTCACGAGCTCTTCATTTTCCAGAGAGGCTGAAAGTCATTATCAGAAGATGTGACAAAACAGTCTGCATGGAAACGTCTCAGACAAATCCTCTTGGGTTTGGCCCTCCCTTGCCCTGGCTCAGCTGGGGTGGATCTCCCCACACTGAACCAACTAGGGCTTTTGGAACCTGGGGATTCCCCACCTCCAGCCCTATCGCACTGTGTGGTGTGCACCCACCTCTCCTACTAGAGGGCGAGTGTGTGCTTCATTTACTAGCGTCTCCAGTGCCCAGAGCAGGGTGTGGTTTGAAACAGATGCTCAGTGAAAATTTGTTGATCTGCTGGGTCAAGCTTATTCTCTGCCACCTCTGGAACTGCCCAACTTCCGGCTGCCACAGCTGGACCTCGTGTGTAGCCTAAGAAGCGGTCACCTCCCAAGGCACAGAATGCAGTGAGAGGAGCCATGGGCTGGGATTTAGAGGCCGGGGTTCTGGCCCCTTGGCTCACACTGTGATCTGAGCCAGACCCCACTTCTCTGAGCCTCTAGCTCCTGCACTGACCTGGAAGGATCTCCTGGCCTCCTTAGGCTTTGTACTGTTGGTTAAACTTCTGCCGGCGGACACAGCAACAGGTGGCCAGTGTGGTGAGAAGGATGGCAGAGACCAGTGTGAAGGTGAGGATGATGATGAGGTTGACATTCTTGAGCCCCCCCTTCTCACAGTCCTCAGGACGCACATGGCTCAGGGATACCTCTGCCTGGGAGCCAAAGCGGCAGATTAGGTCCTGGGTGGCGTCCACATCCACGCGGCCCTGGTGCAGCTGGGCTGCTAGCCAGCCATTGCCACAACAGCTTAGCGGATTCCCCTGCAGGTACAGGCGCCGGAGGCTGTTCTCCAAGCCACCCATAGCACTGCCTGGCAGGAGGGTGAAGCTGTTGTTTCGTAGGTCCAGCACCTCCAGGGACACGGCCTGTGTCCAGGCAGGCAGCTGGCTTAGGCGGTTCTCAGCAAGATTGAGTCGCTTGAGGCAGCTGAAGCAGGGCAGGTCTACCTGCAGGACAGTCAGCCCATTGCCCTGCAGCGCCAGCACCTCCAAGGAGGCCTCCAGGCCTGCCAAGGCACCTGTGGCCACATCCAGACCAGGGTTGGCAGAGAGGTCCAGCTCAGTAAGCGGGGTGTGGAGGAAGGCCCCTTCCCTGAGCGTCTCCAGCTCATTATCGACCATGGTCAGGACACGGAGGGTGGGGATGCCAGAAAAGGCCACACAGCCTGGGGGACCAGGTGCAGCAGGCCCTCCACAGGGGCTGACCCGGTTCCCCTGCAGGTTGAGCCTCTGTAGGCTGGCCAGGTTGGCGAAAGTGTATGGTGGCAGGTCCCGCAGGGCGTTATCCTGCAGGAGCAGCGTCCGCAGGGACCCCAGGGCTCTGGTGCCCAGCTCCAGAGACTCCAGCCCATTGTGGCTTAAGTCCAGAAGCATCAGACAGGGCAGGGAACCCGTGTGCCGGGCCTCAAAGGCCCGCAGGCAGTTTCGGCTGAGGTTCAGGAAGCGCAGAGAAGTCAGATGCTCCAGAAAGCTATCAGGAATGAGCTCAATCTCATTGTAGCTCAAATCCAGGTTCAAGAGCTGGGAGAGGGGGTGGGTGCTGGTGTTCCAGCTGGGGTTGGAGAGGGGCAAGGCTGACCAGCCCTCGGAAGGTGCGTAGAGGCCCTCGCTGTCCTGGGGCGGCCCAGCAGGAAGCCGGATGAGGTTGTTGGACACATTCAGGTAGATGAGTCTTGGGAGTGCGGCCAGGTCAGGGAAGTGGAGCAGTTTGTTCTCCCGCAGGTCGAGCCAGGCCAGCTGGAGCTCAGCCTGCGGTTCGGGGGCCGTCTGAAAGGCCTCGATGCTGTTGCAGCTCAGGTCCAGCACCCGCAGCTGCTGGAGGCTGAAGTGTGAGATGCAGGTGAGGGAGTTCCTGGAGAGATTGAGGTGAGCCAGGCGGGGCAGGGCCTCGAAAGCGCCGTCCTCGATGTCCATTAACACGTTGCTGTGGAGGTCCAGCCTCTCCAGTGCAGGCGTGCCCCAGAAGGTGTGGCGGGCGAGGCGGGTCAGGCTGTTCTCCGCCAGCGACAGCGTGCGCAGGCTGGGGGCCTCGCCCAGCAGCCGCTCCACCAGGCCACTGTACAGGCTGTTTCCAGACAGGTCCAAGGAGGTGACATGCGGCAGGGGGCCCAGACCACCAGCACTCAATGCGGTGCCCACCGCCAGGCGGTTGTGGGCCAGGTTGATGTGCTCCAGGTGGGGCAGGGCCTGAAAGACGCCCGGCTGGAGGAAGCTGATCTCGTTGGTGCTCAGGTCCAGGTGACGAAGCGCTATATAAAAGTCCAGGGGTGAGGCCAGGATACTCTGCAGCTGATTTCCAGATAGGTCAAGGACCTTGATATCCAAAGGGAGCGCTGAGGGGACCTGGAGCAGACCAAGGCCCTGACACAAGGCCTCCTTGTCCACCTAGGGAGGAAGGGGGTGGGAGAGCAGCTGGCATGAATGGGGCAGTAGAAATGGAAGTAGACACACTTCTCTAGGAAGGATTCCTAGCCCCCCGCCCGGCTTAGGTAGGCTCTCCTGTGGCATCCTAGAATGCCAGACATTTTCCCATCCGGTCTGACTTCTGATGACCCTATCCTGCTCCCTGCCCCTGTGTCCGGCACCCAGCACTCTGCTGGACAGAAGGGAGGGACTATGTGAAGGTTGATGGGTAGAAGGCTGTAGACAGATACAAGGACAAATGAATTCAGAAAAGCCCTCTGCTCATCATGACCACCATTTTAGGCAACTAAGCCATGTGTCACTCGGAATGACCCACAGCCTGACAGCAGCAGGGCCAAGCTGGGGCCCAGGACTACTGGTTCCATATTGTGGGTCCTTCTATGGACCAGGTACTCAACCAGACTTTAACCAGAAGCCACACTGGGAAAAGGTGTTTCCAAGGGAAACGTGAGGTATGTACTCCTGTCCCCAGTTTTTATTTCAGCCTCCCACTCTCCGATCTCCTTCAGGCTCTTATTATGTGGGGTGCATCTGGAATGAGCCCCCTTAGAGGTGACTTCCTCTCTGCAGCTGCTACTGACCCCTATTCCCATCAGTGGCCTCCTCTTCCATACCCTGGTCCAGCATTGGCCCCTGGAAGCAAGGGTAGGAAAGGGAGCAGGGCAAAAGATGGCCAGGGTCCCACCAACATTCTTTGTGACAGGACTGTGATTTTGCCATTTGACCTCTGTCAAATCCCATCACCACTCTGATTTCTTATCCAAAACTTAGCTCATCCTTCCCCAGCACCAAATCGGCACTTTACAGTTTACTTAGCACTTTCAGGCCCGTGGTTTAAATGTATCCTCACAACAGCTGGCCCTGTATATAAGTTTGCTTATCCAAAGCTCAGAGAGGATGAGTGAGACTTCAGGAGGACCCAGCTCAAATCCCAGGTCTTTTACCATCCAAAGACTCCACCCGTGGTCTTCCACAGAATGTGCCTTCTGGGGCCAGAATTCTATGCAAATGTACAGAATTTGCATCCCTCTGGTCTCTTCCAAGCTCCCAGGAGCACCAGCCTTTCCCAACAAAGGGTGACTTGCACAAGCACAACCCAGTACCCAGGCCAGTACACATCTCCATCCTTTCCTGCCCCCAGTCTCCATTGACCCCTTCTGACTCACCCAACCCACCAAATGCTTGGCAACTGATCAACCCCACTCTGCCCATGCTGCCCTCTGCTTAAACCCAGGGCAGACTCAAGGACCCTCAGCAAGGCATTCAAGACTCCTGCCATCTGTCCCCTCGCCTATCCCACCTCTCCCAGATGCAGTGACTGCACCTGACCACTGCCCACCACTCTCTCCTGTGCCTACCTCTGGATCTCCTCTCTGGGCTGGTGATGCTTGCCTGAGTCCCAGCATCTCTTCCAGCAGGAAGCCCTCCCTGACTACTCCCTCTGTCATAGCTTTGTGCCTCTCAATTGTGACTGTTTGTGTGGGGATCTGCCAGAGCGCTCAGAGAAAGGAGGGACTGGGATGATTGGCATAGATGTTTTGGGCCTGACCCCCAGAAAGTGATGAAGGAGAGTCACAGACCCTGTGTTTAGTACATAGTTCAGGCATTGAGTCAATCATCCCCTCTGAGGGGAGAGAAAAGGCATGCTCTGTATATTCTAATTACAGTCAGAGACCATTAGAGTAAAAAGAGCGAGCCTACCCATTTTCCAGATGGGGCCCATGAGGCAGTGATTTGCAGGGGTCACAGGGAGCCATGGCTGAGCTGGCAGAAGGAACGTGAGCCAGGGTCCCTACCTCACCTAGCTCTGTCATTCCTCCCCAGGACCCCAAGGTGAGCAGGTCTGAGGAGCAGAACTGCCTAGCCTCGGACACTCATGAGCTCCTCTCTGCCTACTGCATGCAGCATTGTGGCTAGCCCTGCCACCTCCAAGGAAATGGCTTATGGACGCCCCAGGAGACATAGGGAGACCCCTGCAGTTGGCCACCCTCAGAAGCCAGAAACTTGCCCTGGGGCCTTGCCAATCCTTAACCCTTCCGGCCTCACTACCTCTCTGCCTGCTGGGGTCACAGGCACAGTCTCCTTGTCAGGAACCTCAGCAACCCAGAGCATCCCTTAGACAGGCTAGGTTAGGGATAGTCTGGGACTGCTCCCCCTCTTCACACAAGGGCTCTCCTCCAGCCCACAGGTGAGAGGAGCCAGGTGATGACATAATGTCTCCCCACCTCCATAGGGCCACATGTCTTCTCTACTGTCTTCCATGTGGGATCAGAAAGTGCTTCTCTGTCTGTTATCTCATTCCCCCACCCCAAATCCAAAGCTCCAACCTGCCTGCTAGGGGCCAACGCCCCTCACCTCAGCACCCACGTGGAGTGGGCATAGGTATTTGATGATGTCTAGGCCTTCTCTGCCCATTATTCTGGATTCTCAGACTTCCAGAAGGACTCTGAGGAGCAAGAAGAGTGGTGACAATGACAACCATAGCAGAATACTGCAGACCTTGGGGCCGGGCTCCTGGCAGGTAGCTCCCACACTTCTGGCCTCTTGAAGCAACTGCCTATTCTGTGTCCAAGCGGGGCAGCTGGTGGGTCAACCCTGCCTCCAGTCCCAGCTATGACCTTGACCTCAGCACTACCTAGCCTTACAAGTGCACCTAAGTGTTCTCTTTCCCTGTGCCCCACAGGCTCATAGTACATTGGTACCTCCTTGGCTTAGAGCAGAAAAAAGGAACAAAAGTGAATCAAAACAGGCTCTGCACTAGAGAAGTTCTTAGCCTGGAAGGTAAGACAGGCGTGGACCACTCACCAAGTACCCCATGTACTAAGCACACTCAGTACAGAGGTGGAGGGAAGCCCGGGGATGGCAGGAGCCTGAGAGGGAACTACCAGGTGGGTCAGCCTGGGAAGGTCAGGGGAGGCTTCCTGTACTTGCAGTAATGAATGAGGGCATTCTAGTCAAGGAGCCCAATGAGAGAAGGGGACTTGTTCCCACCAGGACACAGGAGCCCCTGCAGTTCACCATTCCTCATTCCCTATACATTTACACATTCTAGATACCCTGGCTGGGCCCACTGTAGGGACAGCTTGGGGGAAGAGAGTCCAATATCAGACTACTGTTCATGGCTAAATGATGTTGGGCAAGTCATCGAACCTCCCCAAGCCTCAGTTTCCTCCTCTGTAAAATGGGAATTAGTGGTATTTACCTGGCAGGCTTGGGAAATTAGCAGGTCTTTAAACATTAGATGCTCGTTAATGCAGGGTGAATCCCTTTCCTCTCCTCACCCCTCTAAGATCTGGCTTCTGGAGCTGGGCAGTAGGACACCCTAGGGCAAGGGTGGAGCGGGGCTAGGCTGAGCAGCTTACCGTCTTACAGGGCACCTTGTCTTGGTGCTGGGAAGTGGCCAGGCCTAGGATCAGCACGGCCAGGAACAGCAGGATCTTGTGACTCATGGCTCTGTAGGGTGGAGAGGAAAGGAGACACCGTGAGACCACTGGCTCCTTCCCACTGCCAGCCCCACCTTTCCTACCTGCCTGTGCCACCCTCCTTCATCCTCCTTTGTGGGACTCGAGACCATGGCTGAGCTGAAATGACTGTGCTGCCAGTGAGGAGGGTGCAGGGACATGGGACTGCATGGACAGCCAGGTATGGTGGCACACACCTGTAACTGCAGCACTCAGGAGCCGAGGCAGGAAGTTCTTGAGTTCCAGGCCAAGCTGGGCCATTACCAAGGGGAAGCAAGAATTTTGGAAGCAATGGGTGACTTGTCAAGTCTGGGCTTTCAGGTAGCATGGAAGGGGTGCGCAGGAGACAGAGGGACCCTATGGGTTTCCCTGGGCTGGGCCGGCTCAGGACCAGGGGTAGAAGGAGGTGGGCTTGGACTCCATTTCCACACAGGCCACAAGCAAGTCTCCCCCAGCTTGTGGGGGGAGTTCCTTAGGCCCCAAATAGAATACCTCATTCTCCCCCCTCTGCCGCTGCCTCTTTATTTGGAACTTTTTCTTTTGATTCTGATTCTTAGCCCTTTACCATTGTTCAAGGATGGGCCCTGGCCTTGACAGGAAGCCCTGCTGGGGCCTGGCCTGCCCCAGGGCCTTTCTGAGCCCTCCCCCTGCAGGCTGCCAGCTCTGTACTTTCACTGAGGCCACAGGCTGTGCAACGGCACGTGGCACCTGAGCCTGCTGGGCCACCCAGGCTTTGCACACAGCCAGGGATGGGGTTGAGGGGACCACAGGGCCTCAGCAGGGTCGAATCCCAGTGCTCCCTCCCTGAAGAACTGAACCAGGTGCTGGGGACACACAACTCAATCTATCCATGTCATTCTTCATTCATACATTCAATCACACCTTTACTGAATGCCTCCTCACGCCTGGCTCCATGCTGGGAACTGGGGACACAAAACAGTGCACAGAAGCGATCACAACAGGAACAGACAGCGTTAAACATGAGGGACACTTAAAGCCCTCCAGAGTCACTGGACTCCCGAGTCACCCACATCTGACAGCACCTTCTTATCTCCTCTACTTTCCTGCTGTGTGGCCTTTGACAAGTCATTCCACCTCTCTGTGCTTGTTTCATTTTCTGAGGTAATGATAGCCATGCCAAGTACTGTTGAGGATACATGAGTCCTTATTGCACCTGGCCACTCTTCCCAATACTTTACAATTACTAACTCACTTAACCCTCACAATGACTCAATGACTTGGTTCCATTATTACCATTCCCAGTTTAGGGAAGGGAAAACTAAGGCTCAGAGAGATTAACTGATATACTTAAAGTCACACAGCGAGATCCGATCCAGTCACGTCTGGTTCCTGGGTCTGTGCCCATAACCTCTACATTCTCCCCCAGCGGGGGCTCAGTAAGTGAGTACTGCCTGTGATCCTGAGCGAGGCTTTGGAGAAAAGGCATCTGCAGGGCCTCTGAGTGCTCCAACTTGACTGTCAGAGCCCAGTGGCAATAAGAGTTCAAATATAGGTGGCTGCTCTGAAGTCCTTTCCTGCTGGAACACGCAGAGGCCAACGTGTATCTTTCAGCCCTCCTCCCTGGCTCCCTCAGGGCCCCAGCCTGCCCTCCAGTGCCCTGCACTGCAGGCTGTGCTTTCATAGGAAATTTTGTCCTGTTGTTTAAAAGACAGACTGGCTGCCACCTGCTCAACATTAGCGTTGAGAACTGAGTGACAACCCCTCGCCCTGAAGGCCTGCCCCCGCCAGCTCTTGTCTCCAGTCTGGCTTCTCACTGTCCCCTCTTCTGCTCTGGGTCCTTCAGTTCTCTTTGCACCCTTTACTTCCTCCTCTGTCCTCCTGCTGAATACCTCTTTATCACATGGGGCTTGGCTTAGATGTCACCACCTCTAGGAAGCCTTCTCTGGTTCTCCAAGGCTGTGCTACATCCTCCTCTTCTTCAGATTCCCACGGCCTTGTGAGCTGCAGTGAGCTCAGCACCAAGCACTCTCTCATCTCTCCTAAGGGACAGCCCTGGAGGCAGAGAGGCCTCCTCTCCTCTGAGACCCTCCTCCCAGCACAAGGCAGGCAGGATGGCACAGAGAATGGGTACCGACAGTCTCTGTAACATGGGATGCTGGTGAGGGCAGGTCCCCTGACTCTCTCTCCACTCCTGCCACATTCCTTCCCCAGGAGCAGGTTCTAACTGCTCTCCCTGGAAAATAGCCCCCAGACCTGCCCCCTCCTCCATCGCCACCAGACAGGTGCCACCCAGGCTTTGCCCACTGTATTTATTTCCCTGCTTCCCCCGAACCCCATATACTCTGTCCTATCCATGCAGCCATACCGTATTTCAAAATATCATATGGATAGCAGAACGTGACATCTACTCTGAAAATCTCCATCAACATCCAGGTTTCACACACAAGTCTGACTCCATCTACCATCTGCCCTTCCTCACCAATTTCTAGCTTTCTGGGGCTCCTCAAACACAGCATTCCTGCGTCAGGGCCTTTGCCCTTGCCATACCCTGGGTCTAAAATGCTCTTCGGCTAACCACTCATGGGTCTAACTGTTCTCCTCACATTTGCCACTTCCTGCTCTTCTATTTCTTACTCTATGGAACCTGGACTGGTAAAGCAGGTGCTCACTAGAGATCTCAGGAACAAATGACCACAGTGAACTGAGTGATGAGTGCTAGGTGAGGGCAAGGAAGGGCCAGGGCTTAGCTCTGAGCCTGAAAACCTGAAGGGCCTGCCCCCAGCATGGGCACCTGCACATCCAGAAGGGGCATCCCTGCAGCACAGGGGAACTCTGATGGGAAGAGGCCCCTGGGCTGTGGGCACCCCTCAGTGTGTAGCAACAGGCTGCTCTCTCTCACAGGGAGGACTGGGGCATTTAGATCCAGGCTTACATCCAGACTCCACTGGTCCCCAGCCCTGTTTCAGGGCCAAGTCCTCTATCCTCTCTGCCTCAGTCTCTCATCAGTAGGGGAAGCAGCCTCGTTTCTGTTCTACCACCGGCCACCCCCAGCCATTGTGATGATCAGGTGAGGATGGTTATGGAAGTGTGGGGGACACTTCTGTATCCTCCCCATTTAGCACCCACAAGGCTGAGCATCCCAGGTGAGGTGTGCTAAGGAGGGAGGCCCCAGGACTGAAGTTAAGTGGTGTGGCAAAAGGAGGCAGGAAACATGGCAGGACTCTGACTGGGAGAAGTGCCAAGGATATTGAGAAGAGGGATGGGGGACATCTCAAAATAAGCCCACCCCTACTATGTAAGGACATTAGACCTGTATCTTCTAAGATATCTTCTATATCATCTCATTTAATTCTCATGACCACCCAGTGAGGTGATCACTGTAATTCCCATTTTACAGAAGAAAAAAACAGGCTCAGAGGGGTGAAGTGACTTACCCCTAGGGTGACCCAGGGCCTACCGAGGACCACATGTCCTGAACACGGACATCTTCAGCACATGCGGTCCCACTGGTCCCTACAGAACTGTCTCCACTTTTAATCATGAGGAAAACGAAGCTCATGGATGACTTACCCAAAGTCACACGTACAGCAAACAGCGGGGTCGGGATTGGAATCCAGTCCCTCTGCCTCCAAAGCAACTGTTTCCACTAGATGGGCCAAGGCCTCCCTCCTCACCACCAAGGACCCCCCAGGTTCAAGGCCAGAAGCAGAGTGGCCACGGGTGTTCCCTGCTGCTCTTGGGCTGGCTCTGACGTCCTGGCACAGTGGGGTCCTGGGAGTGCTGCTTCAGAGGCTCCCAGCGAGCAGTGAATCACTAAGGGCAAGCCCCGTTCTGGAGACGTGCAACCCACGAGGGAATTAGACCTTAACCCAAAGGAATGCGGCTGTGATGGCGGAATTTCAGGCAGCTAGGGGTGGGGGTAGGGGCGGGGGTGTCCCTCACATCTTACCATCCTTAAAGAAGGCTGGCTCCCAGCACCCCAAAGAGCGCCGGATGTCCACTCCAGAGAGATGGGCAGGCTAGCTAGTGAGGTGGAGCAGAGGGCTGAGGGGACCTGAGTTCAAATCCTGCCCCACCCTGGACTAGTTGTGTGTTCCTGCGCAAGTCTCCCACTTTTGGCTTCTGTCTTCCCAGCTGTCAAAAGGGAACTCCGGCCAGTCCCTTTCTCGGGAAAGCCTGATTGAGACAGTGGTGGGTTCTCCACCGGCGAAGTGGGGCCGTGGGAGCGGAGTGATGGGGACGCTGCATGGAGTGGCCCCAGCCGGAGGGGGGCCGGCCAGCCACGCCCGCCGGGCGGCTCCTACCTGGCTCAGCGCGGCCGCCGCTCCTCTCCTGGGCAGCAGCCTCGGCTCATTTTGCGCAAACCTGGCCGGGTCCCACCCGCGCCGAGCCCGGGGTCACGGCCCGCGGAGGCTCGGCCGCGAGGGGGCGGCGCCGGGGGTTTAAATACTCTCCCGCCGCCCACCCGCAGCCACGCCCCCTGGCCCCGCGGCCGCGGGGTCCTAGCGCCTGGCCCCGCCGTCCCGGGACTCGGTTTCTCGGGAACTGGCGGGGCGTGGGTGGGGGGAGCATCCTCCTTACGCTGCAATCGGGGTTTGGCAGAGGCGGGGGCGAAGGGGCCGGGAGGGAGCAGGTCGCGAGGGAAGTGCGACCCGGGGACGGCCGCACGTGCAGCTCGCCGCCGCGAGGTCCGCAGGGGCGGAGGGGGCGCTAGGGGCGCAGGCCCGCGGAGGAAATCCTGGCGCCGCCGCACTTGCTTAGGCGGGGGCCGACCGGAGCGGTGACTGACGGCCGCTGAACGGGAAGGAAATGACCCTTCTTTGGCCCTGGGGCGCCTGCCGAGGGGGTTCCCCCGCGCCGCGGCCATCCCTCCTCCCCTCTGTCGTCATCGCAGGGCTATCGAAAATCCCCAGTTACAAGGTGGGGAAACTGAGGCTAGGGTGAGGCAGGGAGTATAGATAAAAAACAATTGACTGAGTCCAATCTGGTTCCCCACTTACAGTTGGGGCACCTGAGGCTTGGGGAAGGGTAGACGGCATATCCAAAGTCACACAATTTGTAAGAGGCAGGGGTTTAAACCCAATCTGGCCACAAAACTGAGTCCAGGCTAGTTTGGGCGCCATCTTGTCCAAACTAGCCATTTTTTGTCCAAAAATGGGGGTGGCCATATCGTGTCTTACATCAAGTTGCAAAGGGGCTTTCTGAAGCCGCCATGAAGATTGGGGGGTAGGGGAGTGGCGGGGGTGGGGGTGGGGGTGGGGGGGTGGCCTTCCAGGCTCTGGTTCCACCAGGAGGTTCCTCTTAAACAGTGTTCCTCCTTGATGGTCACCAGCACTGAGAGAGAGGCCAGGTGTCCCATTTTACAGATAGGAAAGTCAGCATCCAAGGCCTTGTGGTTCTGGACCTAGCCTTGACCTAGTCTTAGAGGTCAGGGAAGGCTACCTGAAGGAAAAGGCCTGAGCTGTCTTGAGGGGTTTCCCCCTTCCCACCAGTCACCTCAGATCTTTGCTCCCAAGGCTCCTCACTGATCCAACCCAGATCACCCCTCTCCCCTTCTAGTGCTCTATCTGGACAAATGGAACCTCACTTCCCAAATGGTAGTGACTTCTTGGGGCTGGTACCAACCCCTCCTAGTGTTGTCAGGTAATTGCTCCCTTGTCCTTATTGCAGTGATTGGCAGCAGCCTCTGCTGTGCCCCGAGGCCTTCCTTTTCCAGATCCTGATGCCAGGTGCCAAATTTCTAGGAAAGTGCTCACAGCCCTTCTGCTGTGCGGTGTGAGTAGTGAGTAAATCAGATTTTGGCATTCCCCTGCTCACCTCCCCAACCAGGCCCACAGCTGCCTTACCCTTCCCAGACTTGTGGCCGGGCAGAAACTGCTGGGCTATCCTGGAACTTGGGCTAGGGCCACAGAAGGGGAGCAGGGGCTATGACCAGCTGAGGGTGAGTAGCCTGCCTCCCATACAACCCCAGCGCCCAGAGGCTGCGGTTGTGGTTAGTTGGCTCATGGGGGTTCCACCTTAGTCAGTGCCCGGATAGGGCTGCCCAAGAGCTGGAGATATACGAGCAACCAAGCATACCCGCCCGCTACAGATGCCTCTTGGGACCAGGGGCTAACAGCGGGGAACTCCTCAGCCCCCTCCTTCATCTCTTTCTTCTTCAGCAGTCACGCTGTGTGACTTTGAGCAGGTTGCTTGATCTTTCTGACCTCAGCTTGTTGATATGCAGAGTGAGACTAACGATAGCACCCGTGCCCTGTCTTGCTGGGAGAACACAGGTAACAGCGTGCCTGTGGGGGGTGGGGAGGTCTCGGTAAACATGACTCCCTTCCCCGGTGGGCCCCTGGGAGCCTATTCTTGTGGAGTTCTCAGAGCAAGCAGCAGGCCATGGGGAACGCAAGGGTGACAGATCCAGAGGCATCAAAGGCTGAATCCAGCAGGCTGAGGCTGAGTCTGTAGGAGGAGGGGTGGTGGGACCAGAGCAGGGTTGGAGTTGCCTGGCAGCCAAATGGAAGGTGGTGTTCTGCTAAGGACAGTGAAGCCACTCTTCCATCCAGTGCCACTTAGCTCCAGAGGCAGGGAGATCTTAGGACAGCCCACAGACAGATGGCAACTCAGACTTCAGTGTGATATTTTTTGTGGAAATGCTTTCCTTCCCTTATATGTCTGTTGATGAAGACAGGACACAGATCTTTTTCCTGGGTCCTCAGGACGCACGTGGTGCTTCTCAGGCACCAAGTCAGACTCAAGGCTCTCTGGGGAGGTTTCATTCAGGCAGGTTGAAACCTCAGGGTTCTATGTAGGAGCTAGTGGCCCAGAAAGGCAATGACGTGTATATCCTGTGTGACCTTGGACAAGTTGCTAAACCTCTCTGAGCCTTGTCATCCTTGTTTCACTATAGAACCAGAGTGGGAAGGGTCATGGTACCCTGGACACTGAACACCCATTGTGGGCCAGTACTTCCTCTCATGGCAAATCAGAGTCAAGATAGGTATAGCCAGCCTTCCAGTAAGATGTTTCTATTCTCAATTACTGGCACAAGTAACTGGTCCAAGTCACACAGCTTTGGAGCCAGCAATGAAACCCTGGTCTCCCACTTCCCAGGCCAGATCTCAGTGCACAGATGTGGCTATCCTCACTCCTCGTCCCTGCCCAGCACACGTGTGGTGCCTGGGAGTCAGAAAGTTCCCCCATCACCCCATATTGGGGCCCTGCTTTCTGAAGCAGAACCCTGGGTTCCCCAGTTCTTCCCCTGTCTACCCTCCCTTGCCCCTGAGCGCAACGAGGCTCAGACCCTACCAGCTGGGAACCACCTTCTAAAGGGACAGTGAGAGAAGACAACAAATGTGGCTGGTGTCAGCTGTAGGGAGCTGGGAGCCAGAACCAGCACTGGGTGGGGTGGGGGGAGAAGGGGGACAGAGACACAAACACAAGTGGGGAACAAGGTGTCTCTTGCTCTAAGGAGTAGCCGATCTGCTCAGCAGGAATGACAGGGGCTTGCAGAATCAGACCTGGTGCCAGGTGCTTTTCTGCCATATGGCCTCCCCACAGCCACTCCATAGGGCAGAGAAGGGACTGAGGTCCAGGGGTGCCTGGCTCACCCACATAGTGGGCAGGGCAAGGCCAAGCTGGCACTATCCAGGTCCTCAGCCTCCAGGGTCCTCACAGTGCCAGTTTTCTGTTCTTGGTGGGACATGACTTGTCTCCTCCCTGGGCCCTCAGGTCATCCAGGCAGGAGGCACTGATGAGGCCTTGGTCCTCCTCCATGACCACATAGGAGGCTCCTGGCTTCATGTTCCAGTAGTGAGTACTGTGATTAAGGGTTCTGAGGTTCCCAGAGGCCCCTGGGGAGCAGAGAGAGGTTAAGCGAGAAAATCTGAGGCTGGGTGAAGCAGGCCGGGCAGAAGCGCGTGTGCAGCCTGAGTCTGGGCTGGGCTGTGGACCGTGAAGCCACAGCGTCTACAGCCCTGAGACTGCTGGGAACCCAGGGCTCCCTCCTAGCCATGCATTGCTTCCCGTTTTAACCACTTGAAGATAAAACCCGATGGGCCCATTTCTTGATGGTGCTGGTTTCTTATGGCCTTTGCTTTTGGTCTATGAGATCTCCTTTGAGAGCTTCAGAGCCCAGGGCCAGGTAGCAGCCAGCATGTCAGCCCTAGAGCCATCAGTAATGGGAGGACAAGAAACCACATGAGGACAGCGCTGCTGGCTCCCCAGCACAGTTATTCCCAAAGCCTCCGTTTCCTTGTCTATAAATGAAGCCTGACATTCTGCCATCTTCAGGGGTGTTGAGGAGATGATCGCGCTGGGGAAAGCTGAATGGCATAGGATTGGGTCCATCTGGTTAGTAAGGTCGTCTTCTTAACGGGAAAGCCAGTGTTCTGTGGCTGACAGGAGCAAAGGGAGCCCCGGTGATGGAGACCATGCCAGGGTCCTGGGATTCCTGGTGTGGGGGAGCTGCATCAGGGAGACCCTGGCCCCATAAACTCAGTGCACCCAGCGCAGGCCTTCAGTCTGTGGTCCTGGGCTGACCTCCCAGGGTATTGACTGCAGCCCCCTGTCTTCCTCAGGGTGGTGGGAGCCCCATGGCCTGGCAGAGCTTCTAGAATGTGTGATCCCCATAAGTCTAGTGACCTTCCACAATTGAGGAGATGCTGCCTGCCTCCTTTACTTCCACTCCAACAAGGAGGGTACACTCTGGGTCCAGAGAGGGTGAGGATGCCTCCTAAGGTCACACCGTGAGCCGAGGGGCTGATCCTCTCATGCACCCTGCTTTCTTGGGTGCATGTCTGCTTCACGTGTGGGACTCCCAGCATCCTCTTTGGGACTCCCAGCATCCTCTTTGGGGGTGGAGCCCAGTTGTTCTCAAACTTAGTATCAGAGCCCCCAAAGTCTGCTTAAGATAGATTGCTGATTGTGATAGACCACAGTCTGCACTTCTGGCCACTCCATGGGTCTGGGGCTGCCAGGCCACCAACCAGCCTTTGAGAGGCTCTGGTCCTTGATGGGACTCATTGGTGAGGCCGGGTGCAAGCCCAGGGCTCTCACAGTCGTGCAGTGAAATGGCTGTAAGAATAGCCCCTCCCCCCCGGGGTACAGAAGCGAGAGCAGGAAACATAAAGCTTCTGGTGTCAGGGCTATTCGTCTTTCCCACTGGTAGTGACTTCAAAGTGGTAAAGGGACAGACGGCTTCCCTATTACAACCCAGTCAACCCTTGACTACACCCAGTAAGTAGATTTTATTACTATTATTATTATTATCTTCATCTGCAGATGGCGCACAAGGAAACCCAGAGAGGTGAAAGAATTAGCTGAAGCTTGCACAGCCAGTACAGACGGGTCCAGGCAGTGGGGCTGTAGCCCCTACGAGCTCACCACTCCATTGTATTGTTACTCCATAGAGTATTAATTAAC